CCAGATCCAGGTTGGGGGAACTCCTGGAGATTTGGGGATGGAGCCTGGGGAGGACACGGACCTCGGTGGGGTACGATGACACAGAGTCCACCCTCCAAAGCCGCCTTCTTCTCCAGGGGAACTGATCTAATGTTCCCTCTAAGCTGTGGAGTCTTGCGAGCAAAAATCCTGCTTTGTGAGCTCCTGGCATTAAAGTTGTGAGCGAGCAATTTGGCTGCTGCATAAATTAGTTTGCTCTGGAGCCCTCCTTCCTGAGCTAAGGCAAAAATGTGTGAGCCGCAGGCTAAAAAACTGTGAGCTAGCTCACACTAACTCAGCTTAGAGGGAACACTGGTGGAGGTGAGCTGGAATTGGGGGGGGGTCCCCAGATCCCACCTGGAGGGTGGCATCCCCAGCCGTATAAGAGCTAGGTTCGGATCCAGTAGCACCTTAGAAGCCAATAAGATTTGAGTGGGGTTTTTGACGAGCTTTCGAGAGTTAAAACTCCCTTTGTCAGATGTGACTTGGAATGGGGAATCAGCAATCTGTCATTGCAGATCTGGGGGGGGCGAACTCATTCACTCCACCCCCCAGCCAGTTTTCCAATCCTGGGTCCTGAAATGCAGAATGGATGGTAACTTTACGAAAGGAAAAGGGATGGAGGAAATGCCTGTCTCCGGCTACACAGGAATGGAACTTCCATGCGCAGCAGCAGTGTACCTGAATGCTGGGGAAGTGGGCCGGATGACAGGGTAAGGGGTGACATTTGCAGGGTCTGGTGTGCTGCCTTCCTATCCTGCGTGGGAACTTCCTAAGGGTCTCCGGTTGGCTCCTCTGGGAAACAGACGGCTTAAAAGTTTGATTCGGTTCTTGCAAATGGAATGACATCATAGCAACCCACCATACACACCACTTCCTTAGGTGGCTGTAAAAGCCAGGGTTCTTTCTTCTCTTTGCTCCTTTGCTCACACTAACTCAGCTTAGAGGGAACACTGGAGGTGAACTGGAATTGGGGGAAGGTCCCCAGATCCCACCTGGAGGGTGGCATCCCCAGCTGTAGAAGAGCTAGGTTCGGATCCAGTAGCACCTTAGAAGCCAATAAGATTTGAGTGGGGTTTTTGACGAGCTTTCGAGAGTTAAAACTCTCTTTGTCAGATGTGACTTGGAATGGGCAATCAGCAATCTGTCATTGCAGATCTAGGGGGGGCGAACTCATTCACTCCACCTCCCAGCCAGTTTTCCAATCCTGGGTCCTGAAATGCAGAATGGATGGTAACTTTACGAAAGGAAAAGGGATGAAGGAAATGCCTGTCTCCGGCTACACAGGAATGGAACTTCCATGCGCAGCAGCAGTGTACCTGAATGCTGGGGAAGTGGGCAGGATGACAGGGTAAGGGGTGACATTTGCAGGGTCTGGTGTGCTGCCTTCCTATCCTGCGTGGGAACTTCCTAAGCGTCTCCGGTTGGCTGCTCTGGGAAACAGACGGCTTAAAAGTTCGATTCGGTTCTTGCAAATGCAATAACATCATTGCACCCCGCCATACACACCACTTCCTTAGCCGGCTGTAAAAAACCTGGGTTCGTTCTTCTCTTTGCTCCTTACATTATTCTTAAAAGAC